CATAGGTGCCTGGAAGTGTATACATGTGCATACATTCTTTAAAATTTGTTTCAAAACAAACCTTGTTCTTAAGCCTCTTTCCTACTGAGAATACCTTGTTGAACCGGGTTTATCAACATGGGTCGACCCGCTACCACTCGGCATGTGGTTCCCTTCCCACTGGCAAGAAAACCTGGGTCTAACCCCTCGCTGGCAAGCTGCTTGTGTTTTTGAGTTCTTGGGCATTTCTTGATTGCCATCTGTTCCCCTCTTCTGTTGGTCTCCTTTTCCCTCGCTCCTTTCTAGGATCCTCTGTTCACACCTGCTCCCAATCAGCTCATTAGTCCTGCCTTTGTTCAGTTTCCCATATATACTCTCCCCTTGCAGTTCCTCAGTGCTGGTTCCTCATCTTGTCCTGGCCCCCCGCGTGAGTTTTCCAATAAAGTTTTCTGGTTTTTAGCTCCATGTGTTGTGTACTATGGTAAACATTGTATAATAGACAGGTATATTAATATAAAACTTAGTGTTTGTCATATTATATTTATTGCAAAATATATAACTGCATGTATATATTTAATCTAGTTTGAGTTCAGTTTAAATAGCTTTTCATCTGAATAAAGAAGGGTAATGTTACTGAAATATCATTATAAAATTTGTTTTGGTCTTTCAAGGGGTTGTGACATGTATAAGACTATTATATTAATATTTAACTAATTTTCCATGTGATTACAATGAGATCTGGGCTGCCTCTGATTCATTCTGACAGCCGGACATCTTCTTTCATCTCCCACACTCTTGTGGTTACTATTATCGGTATTAATCTGATTGTTTTTTGGGGGTTTTTGCAATTGTTTTTCTCTCTTTTTTTTCCCCCCCATTTAAGTTTCTTAACATTAATGATTAGTTTGTATAATAAAATCTTTTGGAAGTGTTTTTGTGTCAAATGTCTTGGAGAAAAATCATTTAAGGTACAATTTTGTTTTGCCATTTTACTGAAATAAGCTCAAGTAGACAGTGAACGTGTTTGTGCAAATTGGGCGATGATGAGTAATATGAAAGGTGTTGGTCATGTTATTCAAACATAGCAGTTTTTCCAAAGTTTTTGGGTTTTAATCGGGTTGGAAGTTATGTGTTTAACCAATCTTTTGGTTAAATTAACCAATCAAATTTAGTTGTGTTTTTACCCAATCTACAAAACTCACCTCTGCTTTCTCACCTCTGCATTTGGGTCTTTAAAAACCTCCACTTACACCTGACAAATTCTCGTGTCCAATACCTATTACAGTGAAAATTTTTATTGAATTCATTAAAAAGTTTTAGAGTTTGAAGGTGTCATGGGCTTCGTTCTGTAATGTTTTACTTTGCTCCATGTTTTCTAGTTTTCTGGATATATTTGGGTTCTTAGGTTTTTATTTGTTTCCCTCTGTTGCCCTCTTGTGTTGGCCTCCTTTTTCCCTAGCTCCTTCCTTGCTCTCTTCACGCCTGCTCCCAATCTGCTCGTTAGTCCTCTCTTTGCGCAGTCTACCATAACTACTCTCTTAGTGCAGTTCCTCAGTGCTGGTTCCTCGTCTTACCCTGGCTCCTTGTGATTGTTGTCCTCTGATGTCTCCATGGTTCTGGTTTGTTTTTTAATTTTTCATGTTGGATTTTTGGATTCCGGCCTCTGTTACCTGTGTTTATTCATGAAATCTATAAAACTCACCTCTGCCTCCTCACCTCTGCATTTAGGGTCCTCAAAAACCACAACCAAACCCTGACAGAAGGTCTTTAAATATTCAGAAACATGGCTCAAACGGGGCCCTGTACTTAGAGAGTGGGATATTCAAAAGTTTCATATTCAGAGCACTTTTCTGATGAAGAAAATCGTAATTGGGAGGTGCGGCCTCCAATAAAATCAGCATCTCATTATTTTCATCTAGCTATGTCTCTATGAGATACATGACATCAAGATTTTGCTGAGTAATCAGGTAATTGATTAAAAATGAGTTTCCTGGGGTGCTGCTGTGGTTTGGAGGTAGAGTTTATGACCTATATACTGTTGCAGGTTTGAGTCCCAGTCCTGCAGACCTTTGCCAAATGTCTCTCAACTCTCTTCTGACCTTCATTCCTGTCTGAATACTTTCAAAGATAACAAAATAAAGGTAACTAGAGCCAGAAAATAATAAAAAAAAAAATCTTACTGACAGAGATCTTATGTTAATCAATTCCAGTTAAAATATCATGGTTGGTTTATTATCTAATTTGAAGGTCCTGATTGCAAACACTGCCACCTTTCTTTCATGTGGAGGAGACAGAACAGGCAGTAGGGGATCAGCTTTAATGTGGTGTTTGGATGCAAGGAGGAGGTGAGGAAGGGGTTTTCGGGGGCAAGACGGAATTTGGCAAGAGTTTGATTTTCCTGGTAACTGCTAGTTGTGAAACAAATCAAGAAGCTGCAGAGCAATCCTGTTGTTATAATCATGTCTCCTTTAGTCGCTCTGATTAACAGCTATTATTTGGAAGCCTGTAGTCATGGCTGCTTGGCTCTAAAAGGAGAGACTTTCATCCGTGAAACGAGGAAAAAAACATTGTTGGAAGTGAAAAAAGATTAAATACAAGCAACATAAAAATGGTATATGTGCATATATGATACTTAAAAGCTGTTTCTGCTGCTGTGATCGGCTAAAAGCTTCTCATGGGAGTCAGGTGCCACTTGTGGATTTATTCAGTCTGCTAATTTGGTTTATGCCAGGTTAGTAATTCAACATGTAGTAGTTCAACTATGTAAAGAAACATAAATAATAAATCATGGAATCTTGATTGAGTATAGAAAAGAGAGGTAAATGTTCTTTGGATGTCTTGACCCAAATGACTGAGAATTAAGAAAAGGTTATTTGCAATGCTCGTGAGATTCCACTAGAGGGAAGCATCACCCCATCAGGCTCCTGGTATTTAAAACGATTTGTAGAATGTCCCGGAGAATTACAGATTTCCTGCAAAGCCTCCCTCCCCTCTTCAAGTTTGTTTATTCACTCTACCTTGCTAAGTGTCCTTGTTGTAATGCAAATAACCTGTGATATGACCAGCCCTTCTAAATGAGACTGGATAAAGGCTGAAACAAACCGGCATCAGAACCAGAGCATGCTCCAAGCACATTTTATTACCTGCCCCTGCAACATCAGACCTTTTTTGCAGGAATATCTTGATAAGTCATATCTAAATATTTTATTTAGGCAAACCTATTGAACAACCAGATATCAGGTCCTAGTTCCTGAGCTGAGAACAGCTCATAACCATGCTTTTCCAACAAGGCAAGGCAGAGCCTATTTATATTGTTCATTTACCAACAGACTCATTTATATTGTTGCAAAGCTCACTATGTGAAAGAAAGAACAATGTAAAGAATAATTTTATTTTGTTTGTTCTTGCCTTTTCGCGTCATTCAACATTTCAGCTTAGAGAATGACAAACAGTATGATTTCAGTACTAGAGTAACATTTATTTCACCCAAGGAAAAGCTCTACATATGAAGCTACAATTGTCCCATTTAGCAGTTTTTACAAACCCAAGGTGAGTCCTTCCTGCATTTGTGACAGGTTTACTTTGTGCAGTGCACACAACGCTCAGTGCTTTGGTTCCTGTTGCAGAGATTGCACACCTGGCCTGCTTATGATAACAATGAAAAAATCGCACATTTTCCCAAAGTAAGAGTATTAGTATGAACTTGTTGAGGTTATCTATGTGTGCTACAAGTTTGGTGGCACTACAATGATCTACACTGCAAAAATGGTCTAGACATAAGTAAAAATGTCTTAAATCAACCGAATTTACCCTTCATTTTAGTAGGTAAATGGGATGATTTGCCAATAGAATGAGTATTTTTACTCTTAAAATAAGATTATTAGATAATATGCACTAGAAATAAGACAATGCGGTTGCTTTTTCTTGTTTTAAATGTAAATTGTCTTGTTCCATTGGCAAAGTATCTCACTTAACTCCTCAATTCAAGAACAAATGCACTTATTTTAAGAAAAAATGACTTATTTAGATTTCTATTTTTTGCAGTGTATAGTGTAATTATTGGCTATTATATGCTTATAATAACAATGAAGAAATCTCCAAAAATACAGTTTGGCCTATCTTCCCAAAGTAAGAAAGAAAAGAATGTTAGAACTATAAATATACAGTCATATGTTTATATTACCGGTACTATTTTTTCAATGTATTTATCACTGTTTTCAAGGCTGCACTCTAAAATATGATACTGTCTAGAGCTGTTCTAAACAAAATTTCTTTTTGTTTGCAGAAAGCGTCTCAAAACCTCACCATAGAGTCTGCCATGACTGCAGACCCACCCAGCTGAGATTTTTCAGCATAGTTCCAGATGTAAAGATCATGCATCTTTATCACCTTTACCATCTTATCTCACTGTCAGCTTCACACAAACACATCTGTCCTGTTTTTACGGCACAACCTGTGTGATCTTGTTGCAGTGCTCCATCTTCACACTGATACAAACAGGCCTCAACGTCTCCTTCTTATCATTACTCAGCCGTGGTCTGAATAATTTTATGCAAATATTAAACTAAACCCAGGAGAAATATACAGCATATCAGACCTTAAAGGCTTTAAGCTACTAAAGTTAAAGACTGATGATGATGATAATACATAATCACCCCCCAAACACCACCACCATTTTCTTTTTCCAAACAAGGTGCTAAAAAGGAAAGGGAAAATAAACTTAAAACCTCTTTGTTTTCACAAAACTTTTTTTTTCCAATTGCTGGCTTAGGCAAATATGATAAGTTATTATAAACTGAGCATGTTTTCTAAAAATAATATTATTAATTAAAAGAACCTGTTTCATACGTAGGAAGTAAACAGCTTGATTTTTAATTAGAGATGTAATGAATAAATAAGCAAATAATTCACCTTTCTCTTTTTCCAACATATTGGTATAGAGGACTATCTTTTATTTCCGGGTGGATCATCTTAATAAGTGGTCCTCCGAAATGTCAATCATTCTGGTGATATTTTTATGTGAGGCCTTCCTACATGCTCGTCCCTTTAAATTTTTTATTCTACCCTTGCCCACTTTGGTCATTTAGGCTCACCTTTCTCACAGAAGTTCTTTGAAAAAAGTGTCTACGAAGTGTATGAAGAGAAAAGAAAGGCCTTAAAAGAGGCAGACATATCCCAGAATGCTTTAATGGAGAGCTCCTCTTGCAAAGTACTATGGGATTTGCTGTCACTGTAACGGGAACTGAAGGTTGGACCCAATATTCAGCAGACAAACAGAAAGTTTCAAAACAGGTTTATTTCAAAAAATAACTAAAAGAGGAAACTCCTCAGAGCGGGTTCTCTGATTCTCTGCTGAGACAGGAAACTCAGGTCAGTGACAAGAATGAAGAGTGGAGAAGACAACAAAAAGTCACTAACCTGGTTAAGAGTTCAGTCTGAAACTCCGAAGAGGTATCCAGGGAAAATCCAAGCCGAGGTCAGAAAAACAGTCCAAGTTCGATAAATGGCAAAAGCCAGGCAGTCAGGCCAAAAAACAAACTGAGCAAGGCAGGCAGGGAAAAAGGCAAAAACCAAAAACACATGGGCAAAAAACTGAGAAGAATTCCACAGAACAAAACACTTACTTTGATAGCTTGAGTAACTCACACTGAGTTACTGACCAATTAGGCAGGTGAGCAGGAGCAGAGGAAAAAACCCAACCATCAGCGCCAGGATTATGATAGTCACAGCGGCCCGCTGTCGCCATAGGCTGCCGCTACCCGTCAGTGGCGACTAATAACAAAGATGGCCCATGCACCAAGCGGAGGAGTTGTTACTGAGGCCGTTTCTCAATATGCGTTCTTGAGCGTTCTCGTGTGCTCGTGACACGTCATCAGCCTCAGCCCGAGTACCGTTCCAATTCTCGAGAACGGCAGATCGAGAACGCACCAAATCCCCAGATGTTGTTCTCGCCCCGCTCTCTTTA